TGCTGGTCCCTCCCCTGCAGGTGTCTGCCCTTCTGCTTCACCCCCAGAATCCCTTGGCACCTGCACCTTCTCTTACCCCTGCACCCTGCCTCTCCCTTCCCTCACTTCCCCTGTTCCCTTTGCCCCCTTTTTCCCTGATGCCCACTCCTCACCACCCTCTGCCCCCATTCCCCTCATGCCCCTGTGCCCTTACACATGACTTGCTCCATCCCGGCCTTCCTCATGCCCACCCCTTCTTTCAAGCCTTCTCCCAGCACCTCCTCCTCCAGCCCCCAACGCCCTTATCCTCTCCCCTCCCAGCATCACCCTGTCCCTCTCCCACTGACACCTCCCCTCCTGCCTTTTTCCTCATTGTCTGCACTTGGTCCCCTGGCATTTCTCTCTACTCTACCCTGTCCCTTTGGTGCCTTCCCCTTTCTTCCCCCTCTCCCCTCCTCCTCCGCACAAGCCCCTTCGTCTCCCAGCCCTTCCCCTAGTTTCCTCCCTTCTCCTCCCCCTCTGCCCAAGCCCCTTCCTCTCTCAGCCCTCCCCCTCCCCTACCTTCTGCCTTCCATTTTGCGGGGCCGGAGTCTGTGCTCCGTCCCCGGACTCTGAACCCGCAACTCAGCTGCATGGCGCAACGCAGCGCCCAGCAGTTTTAAAATCCCTGGCCGTGATGTTATGGCATGCCCGGGCATCTCCCTGCCCACTGGTTTGAGCACACCGCGCATGGCAGCAATAGCCAGCAAGGGGGAGCTCAGTGAAGGTTGCACATGGTCAGGACCAGGGCCGGGGGAGAGACGCTCTGGGGCCAGGGTGGGAGGATGCGCAGGGGGGCCGGGGCCCACTCCAGCTCCAAATATTGGTGGAGCCTGGGCACCACAAGCCCATACAACTCACCGCCCATGCTTGGTTGTCTTGATCTTGGAAGACAGAGAGAAACCTGTGGGGAACAGCCTCACTGCCAGAGACAGGGAGCTGGATGCTGCAGCATCATTGGAAATAAGGGCTTTGAAAGGGCCTCCTCTGCCAGGCCTGCTGTTGCCCAAGTGCTCCTTCACTGCCAAATATTTCTACTCAGTGCCCAGTTATCACAAGGCTCTCTACTTATTTCCCAAACATTTGATCTTCATTTAGAATTTCTTGGCTTGCACACGGTGTAGTTTTTAATATCATCTTTGCCTT